GTGGACTGATGTGATGGTTCTGTGGATGGATGTGATGGTTCTGTGGACAGATGTGATGGTTCCGTGGACTGATGTGATGGTTCCGTGGATGGATGTGATGGTTCCATGGACTGATGTGATGGTTCTGTGGACTGATGTCATGGTTCTGTGGACTGATGATGTGATGGTTCTGTGGACTGATGTCATGGTTCCGTGAACTGATGTCATGGTTCTGTGGACTGATGTCATGGTTCTGTGGACAGATGTGGTTCTGTGGATGGATGTGATGGTTCTGTGGACGGTTGTGGTAATGGTTCCGTGGACTGATGTGATGGTTCCGTGGACTGATGTGATGGTTCTGTGGACGGATGTGGTTCTGTGGATGGATGTGATGGTTCTGTGGACGGATGTGGTAATGGTTCTGTGGACTGATGTGGTAATGGTTCAGTGGACCAGACATTCAGCTGTGTCTCGAAGGATGGAACATGTCTGTAGAGTGAGCTAGGTGCTGGCTTCGGAGCCTGATCAGGGTCTCATTCTCTGCCCTTTGCAGAGGAGCATCTTTGTGTCTTTCTGTGCCTTCCACAGCTGGAGTGTGTGAGAGAGGTGAGGAAAGCGATGCTCCTGCTCCTCTCGCTCACTCTGCCCTCTGTTTTCTGCCTTTGCAGTCCTTCCCCAGGAGTCCCTTGAAGGACACATTGCCAATGCAGGAAGTCACTGGATGAGGACAGCCCAGCTGAAGTGAAGCTTTCAGGCCCAGTGATGGCTGTGGCCTCGCCTCCACCAGAGCCTGAAGACATCCTGATTGTGAATCTGCAAGAGGACTCTTGGGGATCAGACTCCAAACCCCAGAAGGAGGCGCATGGCCACGTCCCTGGCCCCGAGGTTTCCCGCCGGTGTTTTAGACAGTTCCAATACCAGGACGCAGCTGGACCTCATGAGGCCTTCAGCCAGCTCTGGGCTCTTTGCTGTCGTTGGCTGAGGCCTGAGATCCGCCTCAAAGAACAGATCCTAGAATTGCTGGTTCTGGAACAGTTCCTGTCCATCCTACCCAGGGAGGTGCAGACCTGGGTGCAGGCACGACACCCTGAGAGCGGGGAGGAGGCTGTGGCCCTGGTGGAAGATTGGCACCGAGAGGCCTGGGCTGCCGGGCAACAGGTGAGGCTCATAGTCTGTTCTCTGAGCAGCTGGTTAGACAAGGTAGGAGGCCTGGGACTGAGTTAATAATTGCCCCCAAATCACAATAATAGTAATCACTGAGTAACTGTTATATACCGAGCCCTGCTGTGTAGTAGTTAGTATTCTAAATGCTTGACTTGTATTAACTCATTAAATCCTGCTGCAGCTTAATAAGGTGAGTCGATACTGTTAGCCTAATTTTACTAGTAAGGATATGGAGGCAAAGAAAAGATAGGCAGTTGGTTCAAAGTCACTACCTACTGGACTGTAGAGCCAAGATCTGCACTTGGAAAAGTAACTAGAGTGTGTATAACACCATTGAAACTGCCTCCCAGTACATACAGCGCGCCTCGTCTACACTGTTTTATGTTTAACAGTCATTACACATACTTGGATCTATTTGGGTGCTTGTAGCAACACGTAGACAGAAATAATATTCCTGTAGGATTTTGTAGGTTAGGGCTCCAAAATCAAATTGTTCCCGCCAGAGCCTAAACTCCCATCCTTGGGTTTCAAAGCCATGTTCTTTCCACTCCAGAACGGGTATCTCGTCTGCAAATGTGGACTTAAAATACCTCCGAGTGTGAGGCTGAGGTGAGGGGTTCACTGCCATTTCCTGAGCACCCACAGTGCGTCAGGCCTGCTCTGAGCCTCTTATGTAGATTCCTCATCCAGTCAGCCACACAGTCTGGAAGGCAGGTTCTCCTTTTGCTGTTTTTTAAATGAGTTAACTGTGAGGTAAGTAACATAGCCAAATTTGTATAGTGAAGTGGTATAGCCAAAAAGGGAAGTGGTGTTAGGATCCAACATTCATAGTTTCAACAATTTTTTTTTCAAGACAAGGTTTCTCTGTAGCTTTGGAGCCTGTCCTGGAACTCTCTCTATAGACCAGGCTGACCTTGAACACACAGAGACCTACCTGTCTCTGCCTCCTGGAGTGCTGGGATTAAAGGCGTGTGCCACTACCACCTGGCTAGTTTCAACAGTTTATAAGCAACTTCGAGCGCCTACTATATAGTAGGGCCTACAATGTAGTATGTAATTTTTCTATGACACAGAATTTGAATCCTGCTTGCGGCTGCCCTGTGCAGTGAGCTCTGTAGCTGGCTTCAGGCTGAGGCAGCCTTCCAGACCCTTCCCCTCAAAACCTTGCAGCTCTCCACTTGTTACAATCAGAAATCCCTGTGGATTCGGCCTTGAGCACATTTGGTTGTGAGGACTTGTGTTTGAGAATACACGTGTCGTGAGTGGCAGGGCTTCCCGTCCATTTAGACCGTAAAGCTCTGAGCAGATGTGAGAGTGCGGGGGAGGGGGGGGGCCTCATGTCAGTGGCTCTGCTCTGGGGTTCCTTTACAGACTGGTGGAAGGCCGCCATTTCAAGTCAGAGCATGAACGCATGCCTTTTGAAAGCGTACCCCACCCTGTTATTTCTTTCAAGAAGCCAGCTCTTTGCTGTAAGTGGCAGAGAAGAAACAATGGAAGCCTTAGAACTTTGGAGCCAAGAGATGCAAATGTGGGACCCAGAGGTAAGGGCTGACTTAAGTTGAGGTCTTTTGGATCCTTTGTCTGTAAAATGAAAAGTCAGACTAGAGTTTTCCAAACGACACCGCTGTGAGCTGACCAAAGGTTAAACTGTTTCTAAAACGGAGAAAAGAAATAAAGTAGTGGCATCCTGGCTGGGTCCCCTTCCCTATGACCTACTTTTATCCTCCGGCTTCCCTGCTTGCTCCTGGGTGCTCGCAAACTGCACAGGGAAGAGCTTCCTTCAGCGCATGTGCACAGCTGTGGTCTCACGCCGCCAGCTCCGACTCATTACCCTCTATGAAAGCAAAATCTAACTTTCTATAAGATGATGAAATTTCCGTTCCTCTAAGCCACCACCTCAGAAATGTTGGTGCCTTCGTTTAAGGCTAGGCTGGTGCCTTCATGTAATAGCCCTAGGATATTCCCTGGAAGGGGCCTGTGAGTGCCATTGTCTTCTCATCTGGCATCCCTCATGTGGAGCGCCACTCTTCGTCAGGTATTCTGTTAAGGCGTACATTATTTGTAAGATGGTTTTTGGTTCAGAACTGAGCGGAGAGTACGGTGTTCTCTGAGACGCCCTTGCCCCCAGTAGTCTCCATCACCCCATCAGAGGAGAACATTTATTACCTCATGAGCCTGTGCTCACCTCACCACCCAGATCATGTACTTCACACTGAGGCTCACGGTTGGTGATAGGCATAGTATGGGTTTTGGCAGGCACATAATGACATGTGTCCACTATGATGGTGTCATACGTAATATTCTCTCAGCCTCAACAGTCCTCTGTGTTTTACTTACTAACTCCTCCTTCCCACCCCTGGCAACCACTGGTCTTTCTACCATCACCTGGCATGCTTTTTCCTGAATGCCACAGAGGTGGAGTCACGCAGTCTGTGGCCTTTTTCATTGGCTTCTTTTACATGTACATTATAGTAATACGTGCTTTGTGCTCCACCATGTCTTTTCATGGCTTGCTGTTGCTTTTGTTTTTAGCATGGAATTCTGTGTTGTTGTGCTGATGTACCAGTTCCTCCAGTCAAGACTGAAGCACATCTTGGTTGTGTCTTCATTTGGCATTTACGCATAAAAGCACTGTAAATGGTCACATGTAGGTTTTTGTACAAACATAAGATTTTATGCCATCGGGTACAACTGAAGAATTACACTGTTAGATCTTATGGCAAAGGGGTGTTGATAGTCTTGTAAGAAATTGCCAAACTGTTTCCGAAAGTGGCCGTACTATTCTGCATTTGTGAGCAGTGACATGGGTATCTGATGTTGCCTATCCTTAATAGTCTTTGGTTTTTGTGTTTGGATACCAGGCATTCTGACGGTTGTGAAATGGTAGCACATTTTAGCTTGGCGCGCGCGCGCACATTTGTGTGTGTGTGTGTGTGGTTTTTTGAGACAGGGTTTCTATGTGGAACAGCCCTAACTGTCCTGGGATTAGCTCTTGTAGACCAGGCTGGCCTCGAACTCACAGAGATCCACCTACCTCTGCCTCCTGAGTGCTGAGATTAAAGGCGTGCCACTGCCCAGCTAAGCTTGTCATTTTCTATACAATGTGGGTGGGTGCACATGTGGGTGAGTTCATATGCACATGTATGTAGAGGCAAGGGGTGATATCAGGAGTCTTCCACAACAGGGTCACTTACTGAGTCTGTAATTCACTTATTGGCCAGAGTTGCTGGCCAATGAGCTCCAGGGATCCCCCTGCCTCCACTTCCCTAGTGTTGGGATGACAGGTGTGTACTGTTTTTTATGTGGGTTCTGGGGCTCTGAATTCAGGTCCTTAGACTGCTGTGGCAAGCACTTTACTGATTGAACCTTCTTCCCATCCCCTAGTTTGCCGTTTCTTTAGAGTATAAATATCTTTTCATGGGCTTGCTTGGCACCTGTAAGTCTTTGGTGAAGAATCTGTGTTATTCTGGGTCTTTCTCCTCTCCATATAAACTTAGAATCAATACTAGACAAAGATTCAGCAAAAAAATTATAGGGCAGTCTCCTTAATGAATATAGACACAAAAAATTCTCAATAAAATACTCACAAACCAAATTCAAGAACACATCAAAAATATCATCTACCACAATCAAGACAGCTTCATCCCAGAGGTGTAGGGATGATTCAACAGTAATCAATAAATGTAAGCTTCCACACAAACTGATTGAAGTACAGAAACCACGTGATTGTCTCAATGTATGCAGAAAATACCTTTGACAAACTCCAACACCCCTTTGCAGTAAGAGTTTTAGAGACTTTGGGAACACAGGGGACATATCTCAACATCATGAAGGGTGTAATACAAGCCCACTGCCAATATCAAACTAAATGGAATATTTCCACTAAAATTAGGAACAAGACAAGAATGTTCCCTCTCCTTTGCTGTTTAATACAGTGCTTGTATTCTTAGCTAGAGCAATAAGATAGGAGAGAGATATAAGGGAGAAGCAAATAGAAAAGGAAAATGTCAAGATATTCATAGATGATAAACACATTTTTTAAAGTATCAGGATAGAAAGTTAACACATAAAAAACAGTAGCTTCCTATATGCCAACAACAAACACACTGAGAAAGAATCAAGAAAACATGGTTGCTCACGATACCTCCCCAGTCAACCAACCAACCAACCACCCAACCACCCAAACCAAACAACCAACAAACCAACCAGCCAACCAACCAATCAACCAACCAACCAACCAAACAAACAAACCAACAAAAACAAAAACAAAAAACAAAACCTTGGAATAAATCTAACCAAGAAACTGAAAGACTTGTACAGTGAAATCTTTAAGACACTAAAGAAATACCAGAAGATGGAAGCACCTTCCATGCTCATGGATTGTATATTAATATTGTAAAAGTGGTTATTGAACTGAAAACAATCTACAGATTTAGTGTAATCCCCATCAAAATCCCAACACAGTTCTTCATAGAAACTGAAAAAAATCTTAAGATTGATATGACCCAGGATAGCAAAACCAACAAAAACACTGCTGGAGGCTCACTGAGTCTGATTTCAATTTCAAGTTACACTTCAGAGTGATAGTAATAAAACCAGCATAGTTCTGGCATTAAAAAAAAAACCACCACATGTAGCCAGGTGGTGGTGGTGCACGCCTTTAATTCCAGCACTCAGGAGGCAGAGGCAGGCGGAGCTCTGTGAGTTCCAGCACAGCGAGGACTACACAGAGAAACCCTGTCTCAAAAAAAAAAAAAAAAGGAAAAAAGACCCCCAAAACCCACATTTGATAAATGGGATTGAAATGAGGAACTAGATAAAAGCCCACACTCCTACAACCACCTGATTTTGACAAAGAGGCAAAACAAACAAACAAAAACCCACATTGGCGAAAAGACATCTATCTTAGTTGCTTTTCCATTGCTGTGAAGTGATACCATGACCATCATTCGGGATGTGTGGTGGTGGACAGACATGGTGCTAGAGCAGTAGCTAAAAACTTACATCCTGATTGGCAAGATGGAGTCAGAGAGAGAGAGAGAGAGAGAGAGAGAGAGAGAGAGAGAGAGAGAGACAGAGACTGGCCCTGATGTGGGCTTGAAACCTCCAGTGATACACCCCCCCCCCAAGGCCACACCTTCTAATCCCTCACAAACAGTCTACCAACTGGGAAGCAAACATGCAAACATAAGAGCCAATGGGTGCCATTCTCAATTGAAATACCGCAGTAATGTCTTTAACAAATGATGCTGGTCAAACTGGATAGCTTGCTGTAGGAGAATGAGCCAGATCCCTAACTTTCTGCCCAAAACACCACTCCACAAGGATCTAAGACCTCAACATAAGACCTGATAGCTTGGATCAGATGGAGGAGAAAGTAGGGAATATGCTTCAGTTTACAGGCACAAGACAGGGCTGTCCAGGCAGGACCCCTGCAGCACAGGTATTAATTAAGATTAGCATTTGACAGATGAGACCTCATGAAACTAAAAAGCTTTGTACAGCAAAAGGATATCCTCATTTGAGCAAAGACACAGTCTACAGAATGGGGGAAACTTTGCCAGCTGTGCACCTGACAGAGGGTTAGTATCCACAATAGATAAAACAAAACAAAAACCACCCTCAAAAATTAAACAAAAACAAAAAAATTGCACAAAACCCTAAACAACAAACAACTAGACAAAACCCTTTTAAAATTTGGAGCATGAAATTATACAAAGAATTCTCAAGAGCAGAAATACAAATGTCTGAGACTTTTTTTTTTTAATGTTCAGTATTCTTAGCTACCAGATAAATGCAAATTAGAACTACTTTGCGATTTCATTTTAGCCCAGTCAGAATAGTTAAGATTAAAACAACAAGCTGGGCAATGGTGGTGCAGGCCTTTAATCCCAGCATTTAGGAGGCAGAGGCAGTGAGTTTGAGACCAGCCTGGTCTACAAGTGGTAGTTCCAGGACAGGCTCCAAAGGTAGAAACCCTGTCTTGAAAAACAAAAAACAAACAAAACAAAACAAAACAAAAAGATTAAAGCAACAACAACAGAAAATAACTGGCAACAAATGGTGGTGTGGATGTGGGGAAGGGAAACCCTGTTAGTGGACACGTGAACTGGTGCGACCACTCTAGAAATCAGTGTGGAGGTTTCCCAGAGCTAGACGTAGATCTACCATGGGATCCAGCATATTCCTGAAGGACTGCATTCTGCCACAGAGATACTTTCTCACTCGTGTTCATTCTGCTTTCTTCACAATGACCAGGCAATGGAAACAGCCCAGGTATCCTTCTGACCATAATGAAAATGCACATATATAGAATGGGATATTATTTAACTGTTAAGGAAAATGAATTATAGAATCCACAGGTAATGGATGGAACAGAAAGTAATCATTTTGAGTGTTGTAATCCAGACCCAGAAAGACAAATGACGTGTGGAAAGTAAGGAATGTCATCGAGTCTAGACATGCAGTGTCTCTATAGATCGTAACCACTAAAGAGGCCAACGGGCTTATGAAAGGCTTATAAATTACATTTTCATTTCCCAAAAATTTTATGTAATTTGTCTCTGGGAATCAAAGGCACTTTGAATAGTGATCACCTTCTTGAAATATTTGTACAACCTCCCAGAATTCAACAAGACAGAATTCATTTAATAGTGTAAATGCTGATTTGTTTACTAAAGTCAGTCTGGTAGCTTTCTCATCGAGTCTGAACCTCTCTTTTGAGTCTGTTAACCCTGAAACAGATTCAAACACAGAATAACATTCCCGACTCACTGAAGGGGCCTGATTGGACTGATGACTGGAAGTTCTGACTTCGTATGTAGGGACTGGAGCTGTACACTGAAGACTGCAGATCATCCGGAGCAGTTCAGGAACATCAGAACTTCCAGCTGCCACCAGCGGGTCACCGCTCTGAGGCACAGCGCCGGAAACAGCGGAATACACATCCTGACCTTTCCAGGATGCCATCTCAGCCCTTGAAAGAGAGTGGTCAGTACCAAGGCTATGGGGACGCGAGAGAAAGAGGCCTTTCTTCCCAAGGGACAGGCTTGAGAGGTGGGGAGAAAGGATGCGCAGGATTCAAGGTCCACGATAGGACAATGTCTGATGAATGTTGTCCTTGAGCAGTAAAGTTAAAAGGCTCTGTGGGAGAGGATGCTGTAGGTACCACATTAGCTCTATACAGTTATATATACAGAGTTACACAGAGGTGGGGGTGTGGCAGTGGGTGTGTGCTGCTCACAGGGTGGGGACAGGTACCTCGCACATGGCACAGGAAGATAGCTTAGGACTCCCAGCTTCTAAAAGGAAAGTCGAAGGAGAAGTGTACACTGGGCATGGGATACCCTGGCTTGACCTGACATGACCTTTGGGAAGCTGAGTCATGGAAGGAAGTGGTTTAGAGAACCAAAGTTCATGTCTCACAGGGTTCTTGTCTTCTCCAGCAGTCTTCACACCCCAGGCCCCAGCTGTTCCAAAGATGGGGAGCACTGGAGATTGGGAGGTGGCAGCCAAGTCCCAGGTAAACTGCTGTTTCCTCTTCCTGTTGTCCTCTGCCGTTCCCCTCTCCCATGGCCTCCCCTAGCAGAGGGGTATAGGGCATAGGGTGTTAGCCTTTGCCCCTCTGGGCCTGCTGGTACTCACCGACCATGATGCTAGCTCCCCACTTGGCATCGCTGAAGTGTCCTCATCTTTCTTAGGCCTGGTCAGGTTCCCAAATGCTTTTAAAAGTGTCAGTGACATTTAAGGTCCTTTCTGTGTGTGCCACAGATGGCCCTGAACCCTGGTAGAGGAGCCAAGGAGGACCCCACAGGAGATGACCGTGGGAATGGTGAGTGCCTGGGGAAGGAAACTGCCCTGTTTCAGGGCCTAGCTTGCCTGTTTCTGACACACTCGTTCCTAGACACACTTGTTCCCAGAGAGGGGTTCACCACCCCTCAGAGCCATAGCTCTGCGTGCTCTGAGCTTTCAGGGGAGGAAGAAGGCTGGCTCTCTCCCCGCCTTCTCTCCCTCTTCTCTCTTCCCCCTTTTCTCTCCGCCCCCCGCCCTGTCTCTCTCTCCCCTCTTCTCTTCCCTCTTCTCTCTTCTCCCTTATGTCTCTCCCTGCCTTCTCTCTCCCCTTCTCTGTCCCCCTTCTCTCTCTCTTCCCTTCTCTCTTTCCCTCTTCTCTCTCTCTCTCCCCTTCTCTCTTTCCCTCTTCTCTCTCTCCCTGCCTTCTCCCTCCCTCTTCTCTCTGTCCCCCTTCCCTCTCCCCTTCCTTCTCTTTCTTTCCACCCCTTCTCTCTCCCCTTGTTCCTGCTATCAGAATTTGCTTCATGTTTAGTGTTGTTTTGTCTTATAGGTAACAGTGTCAGTGGAGGTCTGAAGTTTCCCAGCAAGAGAGAAACACACACACCCACACACATACCCACACACACACCCACACACACACACTTGCTCCTTCCCTCCAACAGTGGAGTTGAGTCTGGTTGGGTTGTTTGAAGTCCTGCGTTTGTCATTTGTGGATCTGTACTGGCCACCCTGTTGCATGATGTATTTCATACCAACAGCACAGCAAATGAGGAGCCGGCAGGTCCCTTTCATGTTCAACGAGGTGGTCCTGTTGCTTCTAGGCAGCTTTCTCCAGGGTGATCAGGACTTTCTCATTGGCCTCTTTCAGAAGGACGGGAGTTTCCGGGACAGTGTGGAGAAGCACAGACCAACAGGTCGTTTCTGCTCAGGCATGTCTATTCTTCCTTTTGCATAGGAGTTCCAGTTTCAAAGCCAAGTGTCACCTCCCAGCATGAGCGAAGACCAGAGGATTTGGACCTGAGCCTTCTAAACTGTGGGAATGGGAGCCCTGCAGATCATAGTGTGGGCAGTGAGCCAAACAATCCAGCCGAGGCCTCAGCCCAGAAGGACTCCAGGGCCTGGGAGGAACAAGGCGATGGGGAGGACGTGAAGGTGTCAGGTGTACACTGGAGCTACGAGGAGACCAAGACCTTCCTGGCAATCTTAAGTGAGTCTCCTTTCTTGGAAAAGCTCTGGACTTGCCACCAGAACCGCCAGGTGTACCGGGCTATCGCGGAGCGGCTGAGGGCACGGGGCTTCTTGCGGACTCTGGAGCAGTGTCGCTACAGGGTCAAAAACCTCCTACGGAATTACCGGAAAGCCAAAAACAGCCACCCGCCAGGAACCTGCCCTTTCTATGAGGAGCTGGAGGCCCTGGTGAGGGCTCGGACGACCATCAGAAGAGCCACCAGCGGGCCAGGAGAGGCTGTGGCCCTCCACAGGCTGGGTGACAGTGACGCTGAGATGGATGACCAAGAGGAAGGGAGCTGGGAGCCCGAGGAGGCCACAGAAGACTGCAGTGGTCCTGGCCTGGCTGCAGAGGAGTCTCTTCAGGGTCCCAGGAGTGCAGGGGGTCCAGCTCTGCTCCAAAGCCGCATTGGTAAGAATATGGCGTGTAACTGGATGACTATCAGCCAGACTGTGGCTTCCCAGGTTAGAACTCAGACTAGGAGACGTATCAGTGACACTAGAGTAAGGTGCCAGGTCCCTGGACCACCCTCAGGCTCACACTGTCTTCTCTAGTGGCCACATCTCCTGGTTATAGGAGCAATAATTCTAAAGCCTTGCTAGACCTGGAGAGACCCCAGTTGCTTCCCAGAGTGTCACTGGTGACTCTCCTAGGTGGCACCAGAGCGAATTCTTTCATTTCCATAGGTGTGTTTCTCCTAGTGTGTGTGAGATCAGCCCAGTAATTCCCAGAGAGTGAGTTTGGGTTTAGAGAGAGTGAGGGAGCCCGGCAGTGGTGGCACACGCCTTTAATCCCAGCACTTGGGAGGCAGAGGCAGGCGAATCTCTGTGAGTTCTAGGCCAGCCTGGTCTACAAGAGCTAGTTCCAGGACAGGCTCCAAAGCTACAGAGAAACCCTGTCTCAAAAAACCAGAGAGAGAGAGAGAGAGAGAGAGAGAGAGAGAGAGAGAGAGAGAGA